GTAGATATTTCTGATATTTTGAATTTTAATTTCTGGATAGAGCTTTTGTCATTTTTAGGTTTTGCAAAGACATAAATGTAAAATCTAAAATATTGTGCATCAGAAAGCGAAAGTGAATTGATGCATCGTAGTCATGGTTACTTATCTCACCTTTTATTTATATGAGCCAAAAATATCCAGGAGGAAAATAAGAATCTGCTACAAGCACGTAATTTATTCAGACATACAAGGCCCTCTTCATCAATGTAAACAAAAGTTTAAAGGTATTAAAATATCTTAACACCATAATATCTCATTTTAATCAAATGGGGAAAGCATCCTTTTCTAAGTTTATTAAACTGTGTGGTAACTTTAACTTGTACTTCGGGACTTCCCCTTCAGTACACTGTAAATACAGCTTTCAAGGAATGATTTCTTGATTTCTCTTCAAAATGGGAAAGTCTAGAGAACATGGCATTCACAGAGGCATGTTGACCTACAATTTAGTAAATCTCATAAGAAGATAGATACTTGTTTAAACATACCCGTCTTTACATTCACATCCAATTTAAAAGGAAAAACAAAAGTGGAGCTGTGTTAAAGGCTAGTTTTTATTTTTCTGCTGCAAACAGCAAGGAGGACGGTAAAGAAGGTCACAAACAAAAGTCTGAAAAGATCTTGGCTTGAGATTCATGTGTCCATGTCATGAAGCCTCAATTAGAGCAATTCATTTTACGGTTTTTCTTTATGTCTTTCCCCAGGCATGCTGCTGATAATGGTGGAGAGTATCAAATCTTAAAATCTACACAACTATTCATGTTGTTCCTGCTAAAGTCTCTTCTTGAGCAGCTGTCAGATATTTTTAGTCTTTTGGTGAAGAAAAGTGTTGTAGATGTTTTAATTAATGAGGATCACAGAAAATAAGAACGATTAGCTAGCCAAGTTCCTGACTAGTAATTAATTTAGGTTTTCAATGAACTTTTGATGATTTGGCCATTAAATAATAAAACGGTGAATTAAAAACTCCCAAGAGTTTGATGTTTTCCAAAGCAAAGTTTTATTTCATCTTCAACTTTTTAAACAAAAGTCTAAATAATTCTTTGGAGGGACTTCTGTTTTCTAATAATTTGTAAAACTGGCAAACTAGTATATAGCAAAAATATTTTGGGGAACATGTGTGGCTCAATTGCTTTATGTGTTTAATGAGAGAGAATTTGATCATTTGAGTTTTTGCCTCGCCTCAGCTATGTTTTGTTATTTTGAGAGATTTAAAAAGTGCATTTAAAATCTATGCAGATGAATGAAAAAGCAGCACATTTGTATGTGTTAAGTTTTCTGGAAACATTTGGATACCTAACCAACCATTTACTCAACAAAGAAGCAGTTAATATTCATACAGATTCACCTCTCAGCATGTTTCCTTACACATTCCTCCTTGTTTCTCTATAATCTTTAATTTAGGTATCTGAACTACTTCGCCACCAAATCTAGTCCTACAGGAGTGATCCTGGACTTGTGGGAGGCGCAGCATTTTCCCGATGGTAACCTCAGCCGCCTGGCCCAGGTACTGGAAGAGATGGGTCGCCACGACAGCCTCGTTCCTGCTGCGACTGAGCACTGACGCCTGCTTATGTCTGAAGAGGAAGAAGATAAAAACAGGAGTAAGGAAGAGAGGAGTTAAAGGCAAGACTTTGATTTTGGAATCTCAGTGGAAAATGCTCTTTCGCGCTTTTAAAAGCTACCTGAGAGCACGCTGATAGAGGTGGAAGTATGGAAACAGCCAGGTCTGCTCAGGCATGACCCAGTTAAACATTGGCAACAAAAGGGTGTAAAAACCTGGAGAGCAAACATGAACCCTTGCCAGTCACTTTTCTGGCTGATCCTTCCTCTCTCTGGTGTGACAGTTTGATATTTTTGGCTCCAGTTTCCTTGGAAACAGCTGTCCGGTTGTTTGGATGGATTTTGTTGCCGATTCCCTCACAGTATACAAGTAACTATCGACAAGAGGTCAGTGGATCAAAGGAGGACTGGGTTCAGAGACCGTCACTCAGCCATCAAAGTCAATATTCTGCAATCCTTGATAACAGTATTTAACAGCATACATATTTGTGCTTGTTTTTTTTTTATTTCATTCTGCCTGTTAGTGTGTTGCAGAATCCTTTAATTTAGTTGCATTTTCTTTCTTTGTGTCACAGCACCACCTGGTGGACACTCACGAAAGTAAGAGTCGGAAAAAGGGAAAAAGAACATTTTCACATTTGTCGTAATAATAATTGCTACTATTTAGTGTTATGTATTATTATCGAGTTTTTATTCTGTACAAAATTTTTTTCACAACATTTTGGTTATTTCCAATGTTTGTTTTTTTAAATTTTGTTTTTTTTTTTTATTAATTTTCAAAGTTCCTCTCCTTGCTACCCTTTTGTTTTTAGAAATTAGATTTGGTATGGAAGCCTATGTAATATCCCATGCAGAAGAGCAGAATAAGAATGACACTAATGACTTTTATGATCAGACAGAATAATTTCCACAACTCGATCCTGTGATCAAACAACTTTATTTTTGTAGGACCAATGTGGCTGGAAACAGCTGCTTTCTACCAAAAAATGGAGACGTAAGATGTGAGGGTCAGTTTAACCTGAAAGTTAATCAGTTAAGTCTTACTTTGTGTTTGGAGTCAAATCACATTCTTCAGCACTTTGACACAAAGGCTGAGATTTTAACTGATTCAAAAGTTTGTACATTAAACGACAGAAAGCCATCAGTGTCGTGATGACGCTGATTATGTGCAAATTAATTATTGATAGCTATAAATGCGACATTCCTTTAATGAAGCAAGAACGTGTTCTTCATTCTTTTCTTTTTTTTAAATATATTTGTCCACGTTTTTGTAAAGCTGTCTATGCAAACTCTGCATCCTTTCGAAACAATCTATTCATTTATCAGTGGGCTAGCCTTTGCATTACCTGATTGTCCTTTGGCTTCATGATTAATGTTGTGCATAGCGAGAATGTAGCCTGTTTGTTTCTGGCAGTCACGATGTTCCTCGCTTGCGTTTCATCTGTCGAGTTACTGTACAAAGTGTAAGAAAGAATTTTTAAGACTGATAATAAATTATATTTATATGCAACAATATAAATGAAGCATTCTTGTTTGAATTTCTGAAACTGCAGAGCAATGTTTCAGAGGAGATTGTTATTCTGTGGGCACAAATTTTGGCCAAACATTTTTGTACTTGTAAATCCGACTTTGTAACATTATGAAATAAAATTCCTGAGAAAGTCAGGTTTGTGTATCTGTAGAAAAGGTTTTTTTTTTTTTTTTTGTTGATCCAGTTTTGTGTAGCTTACCATACAATTACAGGCAAAGCAGAAATAAAAATGTGTAACTCCACTGCTTGGATCTGCTTCTTTAGATCCAAGTGTAAATTTCCCTCATTAATTTTATGTCTCAAACTGAGTGGACAGTGGCAAACCCAACTGGTCAATCTAGAGTTGAAAAGTGACAGAAAATCATTGCTTTTGATTTACTAACATAGTAAGTTTGGGGCACAGAAATTAGGCTAACAGAGGGACAACTAGGGGGTAACTGCTATGCAGCAGGTCCAGCTCTTTTCTGATTGGCCAGTTATCTGTGCATCAAAGCTTAGTCACTTTGATGCACAGAGGTGCAGCACAGTAATTTATTTTCTGATTGGTCAGTTTGGGTTCGTACGACAATCTGCTTAAAGTGGAGTGACTTTCTCAAAAGTGTGACATTTAGAGCGCCGTTGAGATAACCGACCCGGAGTACATCTGGGATGCAAGTAAATCTGTCTTCTGGTTCACCAGTTGGATTTTTCATTGAGCAATCAGCTTATTGTAAAGAAATTGCAATAAGAAAGCAACATCTAGAGGAGAGCTGAGCGGGAACAAATCAGTCTGATTGGCCAGTGTGTTTGGCACTGACCATTTGGCGTTGAATAATCATCTTGAGGCACAGAAATGTTGACAGAGTAAAATCTAACAAGAATCCAACTTATACTCTCACAATGTTCATGAGGCAAATTATTTTAAAAAAGGGACATTCAGGCATCTGAAATCCAAAAAAAGAACATTCTGTCTTCATTAGTTAATATAATTTTTTAACACAATTAGTTGTGCTACAAGAGAGACAACTAGAAGTCAGCTGTGTATGTCTAATCTGATTGGTTAATTTAATTTTAGCCAAACCAGAAATTTTAACAGAAACACGTAAATGACAATTGATTTTCAAAGCCTGCCTTGTCAAGTCTCCATAAACGGCACAAAACTGAACAAATACAAGTATATATAGGAACATATACTTCAAAAGCAGTTTCCTCATCTAACTTCACAATCTTCAGTTTCTCATCATTTTATTGTACAAGTTTGCAAAGCTTGATTTGCACATGCATAGTTTTTATTCTAGTTTGAGCCCTAATCCACTCCAATATAATTCACATTGTGGTGAGCCGTGGGCTTAGTCATATACTAGTGTATCTAATAAGCCCACAGCTTACATATTCATTAAAAAAAGAAAAAAACTGTAACTGTGTTATGCAATGTCACTGCATTACACAGTTCATACTCTAGAACTTTCCTGGAACTAAAAAGATCCATTTGTTATCTTTTCTAAACTCAAGAAATTACTTTCCACTTACATACCTGGTATCTTCAAGAAATATCTGGAAAGTCCCATGAAGTATGTGGTAAAGAACTGATGTAAGCTAAACTTCCCACATGCCTTTTCTTACCTTGCAAATTCAAAATATACCCCAGTCAAAGTCACCAAGCAGTTTCTGAAAGTAATTCCAGGAGATGAACCAGCATCTCCTGGAATGAGTAAATGTATGTTCACCTACCTTTTAGGAAAATAGGTGAAAATACTGAAAATAACTAATGCTTTTGGGAAAATACCTGAAAGAAATCTTGACGTTCTGGGAAGAAACCTCTATGTTTTAGGTTCAGATGAACTTTGTAAAAAATGACCGTCATTAAAAAAATTATACAAAGATGACAGACTTGGGTTGGGAAGCTCAGAAGATCTTAGTTTAATTTTGAAACAAAATAAACTTAAAAATACATTATGAAGAACAAAATTACAAAATAAATTAAAGCCGCAAGCGGCGTCGGGTGGCCCTCGCAGCTCAGCGCCACCCCCACCTATTGGCGGCCACGGGGGTTCCAGCACCGCCGCCCACAGAACATCAATGCCTTCTGCAGCGCTCCCCGACGACGCACAAAAAATCTGGTGCAGATCGGCTGATGTAGAGAGGAGATACAGCTGATGGATTAACATAGGGGCGCAGTGAAGTCAAATTACAATTTAATGCTGTTGGGCTCCTTAGAGGTTCACAAGAGTCAATCATAAAAAAAAGTTACATGGAAATCCAAAGATGCATGTAGGATTTAGAAATGACTTTCTATCTTTTTGTCATTGGTGGAGTGACACTACCCCTACTGGCCAAATACTAACCTAGTTATTCATCATCTTTTTGTCAGTTTGTTGTTACAGTGATTTCTGTCAGATGCAAGTTATTTCTCTGAAAATTCCTTTTCTCCTTCAATCTCTTTGTCATTGGTGGAGTAATACTGACCCCTACTGGCGAATTATTGAAACAGTTTCTAAACGGTGACTGCTGATGAAAAACTTACCTTATATTATTTTTAACCAAAATTAATAAATTTTTGTAGTCTAACCCACAAAACGCAATTAGTAAAAAAAGCCAGAAAACATATAACAATGTATATTTACATAATTATTATGTTAACATGGCATGGATGGATGCAATGTTCTGTATTTCATGGGCTGCTTTGATGTTGTTTAAGGTTTTGGGAATATGTTTGTGTATCTGAACAGCTGAGTTGATGCTTTATTTGGTGACTTATGTTAATATTAGCTGTATTGTATTTTCAGCAGGGCTCCCTGGTGAAGCACACAGCATCTCGTGCAGGTCACCTGATGTAGTGGGGAGATATAGCTGATGGAATAACCTAGGTGCAGTGGAGTCAAATTACTTTTCAATGCTGTTGTAAGTCCTGACAAGATACATATGTGTGCCAAGTTTCATAATTCTGGCTTAAATCCTTAGGAGGAGCTCAGTCAAATGCGAAGTCTGTAAACGGCCAAAGTGGGGTCAAAATCGGAACTTCAATCCAAAATGGCCGACTTCTTGTTTGATTTGCACGATGACATTAATTGTATTTTCTGTGCATCTTGGGGAGCTCTCAGATTTCATGTCTCTACGATAAAGTAAGGTCATGGCGGAAGGTCTTTTGAAAGTTGCTAGGTGGCGCCGTTGAGCCGTTTCTTCTGCAATTTTTCAGACGGCCTTAAAATACGTAAATTTTACACAGGCCGTGTGCGTCCTCCAAGTTTGGTGAGTTTTTGAATATGATAAAGCCCCCAAAAGGCCCTCACTTTACTGAGCAGAATCGGAATAATAAACACTATGATTACAATACGCAGCGCTGTCGCTGCTCGGGCCTAAATATATATATTCAATATTGTTTTGACTATGAGGTCACTTGTTTCAGAATTATTAGGCTGAAGATACCATCATGTTGAATGTGAACTCTCCATGCAACGAGTCTCACAAAGCTCATGGAAATAAAAATCATTCAAACACATAAAGGGCAGTTGTGACAGCACAAAAGACTGCTCAGATTACTGCTGTATGGCTTCAGGAAGGAGGTTACAGCGGCAACCTCACTGGAACCTGTAGGGCCGCTCCCCACATGGACAGTCTTTGCCTGGGCAAACACTCAGCTTTCACAGAAAGCACAATCTGATCTCTTAGTCTGAGGACAGACGTCTGCTAAATCTTTTTCTTGACATTCTTCCTGGCTCCATTATCGCCTATCGTGCGTGGCAGTGTCTTTTGTCCGATCATTCACAGTCTCTTATTTTCCCTTTCTTCGATTGGTCATTTTAAGAGGTCTGTGCCAGTGGCAGTGACAAGTCTGTAGGTGAGAAGAAAACATCTCTCTGATTCTCTGTCACAGTTTGATGTCTTGGGACTCTAACATCTTCGCAAGGGTCTTCTTCACCCGGAGGGCTGTGAGGCGACAAGCCGGGTTGTGAGCCCAGCACTCTGACATCAGTTTCCCCATCTGCCGTAGACACTGAAGACACACATCAATTTAACATTAGAAATACCAGAAAAGAAAAAAAAAATCTAATTCTCATCAGACTACAAATGAATCCAGTTCCATTTTCAGTTCCAGTTCATGTCTAAACGTCCTTAAAAGAACCATTTCTTTTATGGCAGTACCTACATCTTAGTGATAAAATTTAGAGAAAATGGCAACAGAAAAATATCTACTCATCTAATTACTAAAATTAACTTTACAACTTAAGACATCTAGCAGTATGGCAACATAAGGCTGGAAGAAGTCCCAGGGTTGTCTGGCAAGGACAGAAGGATGATAAAAGAAGCCAAAAAACATCTCAGAAGCTCAATGTTAATACACTGCAGCAATAAAATGTTAGAGAGCAGCAGTTTTCTTTAAAGTGAGAGATTATGCTCGAGCACTAAAAGATACATTTATTTTATAGCCTTTATTCACATCTTTACAAGGGGTGACAATGGTGGGAGGTGATAGCTGTACATCACCTTCTAGCAAAAAATATTTAATGTTTACATAAATTGAAAGAACAAAAAACTCCCTGTGAAAGAAAATGTGGTGATTTTGTTATAATCCAGTTAAAAAATAAACATAATAACCCTTAATAAATATGCTTTATATCAAAGTGGAATCCTGTATCTTAAAAATACACATACTCTTGTTAAGAGGATGATAACACATAAATCCTTATGGAGATTATAAACACATTAAAACTAAAACAAAACATAATTCTAAATATTTTTATTGAAATGCAATCAGCATCTTAAAACTGAGGTACTAATAGTTTGCAGTTTGTTTGACAGACCTTTGCAGGAGTAGGAAGAAAAAAAGAGCATAGAAACACAGATGGAGGAATAAAAGTTTTACATGTTGCTATTGCTTTAAAAGGTTTTATTTGAGCTAAAAACCAATTGGTGCCTTAATTAAATTAGAGGTTAGGTAAAGCTATTTAAATGAAGCAATTTCTTTCTCTTAACTTCCAACATAAAATCTTCCCAAAGCAGAATGTACATTTGCATTACTAAATTGGAGGCTGGTAGCTGATAGTAATCAAAAACATAAAATAGTACCTCATTGCTGCTCCAGTGATTTGCAATCGAAGGTCTTTGCTTCTTAATGCAGACAACCTCCCTCATGTCTTCATAGGAAGGGTCAGTGGGCACGAGGTCATGATAGGGCAGCTGATGTTCTTCAACAACACCTTAAAGAAAGTCAATGTCCTCTGTCATCATTAGCAATGAAACACTGGAATGAGTTCTGATGACTAAAGTATGTTTTTCTGACCTCCAGAGGTGCATCGCCGTGCCACTTCCCAAAGAATGAGACCAAAACTGTACATGTCAGCCATGATAAAGGACTGGAAGGTGGTCATGTTCAGGGTCTCGTCCAGCACTTCCGGTGGCATGTAGCGCTTGGTCCCAACTCGTAGGTTAGGAGGGATGTCTACCTCATTGGTGTCACTGAAAGGCACAATGAGAACACAATGATGCTTCTGGATGCACTGATTCTGCCTTCTAATAATCTGCATCAAAACAATTCTTCTAGGACCCCAGGAAGGCCTTCCATACCTGTTAAACTTGACAGCGAGCCCCAGGTCGGCGATACAGCAGAAGCCGTTCTTTTTCACCAGGATGTTTTTGCTCTTTAGGTCTCGGTGCGCTATAGCAGGTTTCCCCTGTGTGCCATAGATCTCTGTATGCAGGTGGCAAAGGCCTGAGATGGAGGAATAAGCCAGTTTCAGCAGAGCGCTGACATCTAAGGTGTTGGACTTGAGGTAGTCATATAGGGATCCGTTCTCATGGTAGTCTGTAATCAGGTACAGTTGAGTCCACGAGCCGGTTCCTTTAATGTCAGCTGCGATAAATCCTGCAGACGAGACGGGTTAGATAAGAGCAGGAGGAGCAAACACCACCGGAAAACCTCTGGGTTCTGTCGACCTACCCAGGATGTTGTCATGCCTCATCAGGAAGGTCTGATAAATTTCTGTTTCTCTGAACCAGCTATCCTCCTCAGTTGTGAAGAAGACTTTGACAGCCACTCTCTCCCCTCTCCATTTGCCCATCCACACTTCTCCATATCGGCCTTTTCCAATCTGTTTGACCATCTGGATCTGCTTGGCAATGGTCCGCTGAACCTTTCAACGTAACACAAGCAGTTGTGTTTTCTTCAGCTTCTTTCAAATGGTTTTCATATTTTGTTGAGTTATAACTACAAACGTATATGTATGTTGTCGGTATTTTTTCTGTAATAAACTAATACAAAGTAGAACATTTTTAAATCTAAAGCTCCCCTGAGTCAATGCTTTCTTGAATAATACAAAACCTTCTGCAATTACAGCTGCAAGTTGTTTAGAGGTTTTCTCTAAAAGATTTTCACATGTAGAAACTCCTGGGGAGAATCTGTGAACATGGGGTTTTTTGGTTTTTTGGATTCTCACTTGCCTTTAGGTCTGGGCTTTGACTAGACCATTCTACATGTGGATCTGGTTGTATACCAATGGCAATTTCTGACATACATGGGCAGTTTCACATTGTGGAATTAGACAAGGGAAGGCGGAAGCACTATTTAAAAAAAAAAAAAAAGTATTTTACTTTCGCCCAAAACAAGTTTTCAACTGCTTCCCAAGCAGTTGAAAACTTAAGCATATGCAAGTATATATATATATATATATATATATATATATATATATATATATATATATATATATATATATATGACTTTACACAGAGTAAAGTCAGCTAAACCTAAATGTGTGGGATAATTTTCAAACTTTTCCTTGTAAAAGATTTTGAAGATGTGAAGCATGTCTTTGGTGATTCCTATTAGTTGTGTTACAATTGGAGGCTCTTAAAATTAGTATTTTATGGTGAAATGGTTTGCAAATCATGCAAAACAAGACTTCTTTACAACTGCGTTGCATAACTTCTTCTTACAACAGCACTCGGGATTTAAATAGACCACTCATTGAAAATTTCCCTCGTCTTTCCAGATAAGCAAATTTAACCTCTGCTTAAACATGCCAAGATATTTTAAGATGTTGTTTTTATTTGATACCAGCAGAGGGAGTCCTGATCCAGACCCGGAGCCAGCGCTGCGGGAGTGCTCTATCAGATCCTTCAGAGTCTCCCCGGGAGGAATGTATGTCTCATCCTGCTCCAAGTCGATACTGTAGGGCGGCCGCGATGTCTGTCGCTTATATCTGCCATATAGAGGGAAAGAAGGATTGGTTTAGCGAGTATAAATGTACTGGTTTATAATGTTCATAAAGGCATTTTGTACCTGAAATAGCAGAGGACGAGAACGACACAAAAGATGCTGCAAACTGTCACTGAAATGAACAGGGCTATGTACTGGATGCTGCTGTCTACGTATTCTGAAAGAAAAATATAAAACAAGAGTAAAAAAAAGTTATTTAAAAGGAAAACATGAACGTTGCATTTAACAACAAACTTAAAAAGTCGATTTAAATGAGGAGGGTTGGTAATGGAGGATGACACTCTCTCTTATCAACTTAGAAATCGTTCTAATTGTGAGTGGCAGCGTCGAGCTACTCCCCTTCAGTCCCCCTCGGTCTTACTCATGTGCACCCTCCACCCCACCACCACCACCCTTCCACCTCCCTTCCACCTCCCGCACCGTGCTTTCACAGCCCGTTATCGATCACATCCCGTTCCTGAATCCCGCGGATCGCGTGTCGCAGTGACATACATCGCTGCAGAAACCCCAGGGGCCTGAAACGGCTCCGGAGCTCTGGCCTTTCTGTCTCTGTGCTGTCAATCACAGACACATACACACTGAATCATGGAAAACAAAAGCTAAAGAACTAAAAAAAAGATATAACATACTTCATTTGACTTATGTTATTTATTTAATTGAAAATAGATTGGCAAATACTCCCCTTGTGCAGCACAAAAAGTGCAAATGTAACACTTTTTTAATAACACCAATGATTATGGACTACACTTACTGTTCTGATTTATCACATAAAGTCTCAACAAAGTAATTTGTTGTTTTAAAGGCATACAATAAAAAGACTTTGCAGGTTACGAACACTTTTGCAGAACAGTGTGTGATCGGCCCTGCCAGCATCCCAAAAAAGTATAGCACTCTATTTGTCTCCAGCTGAGATGAGAAATCAAATGGCCAAAAGAGTCTGGGATATACTTACAAAAGCAAAATGTTGAGTGTTTTTGACAAAGTAAGAAAGAGAACAAATGTGTGTGTTTGTTCATGTGTGTTGGTTTGCCATGGAGTGACAGATGGACATATACCTCACATCCGTCCTGAGGCAAGAAACTCAAGCAGGCCCTGGGGAGAGCCTGTCCTTTTCATTACAGAGTGAGAAAACAAGCCAAGTCTGCACTCTCTGCCACTCTCTCCTCTGCTTCTCCAGAGCAGCAGCTGCCATGTTCCCTCCAGCAACACACTGTGGTTAGTAACAGTTTAAACTGGCAGTGTCCATCACTGACCCAGCGTTGGCCCGATTGAAGCCACTTCAAAAACCTTAGCATGTGGCTGGTTTCACTGTGTGAGGTAAACTACCTGATGCGATGAGCGGAGGAAGCGTTGGCCGTAGTTTTCTGTTGCAGTAGTCATGATCCGTGCAACACTCGAGAACTCTCCAGGAGCGTGCACTCCAAGTATCCTTTAAAAACACAAAAAATACATATCTAAACATTATAGCAATTAAATGAATATTAGAAATATTTGTGATAAAATTAAAAAATAAAAACTCGGAACTGAAAGATACAGTGCCTTGCAAAAGTCTTACTTTGCCACATTCGGATATTAGTTTATAGTTTATACAAGATTTTTTACATTGTATTTCAATTAATATTTGGTCACAATTCCAGCTGTAAGTTCTTTGAAGTATGTCTCTACCAGCTGAAGACACATTTTTGTCCGCCATGATACTCATTTCTGCCAAGTGGTTAACGCTGAGTCAAATTGCATGAAGAGTTTTTGTTAAAAACTTGTAATTTGTGGCACTTTTTCAATTGGATGTATGTCAGTGCTGGTGGATAACATAGGTCACATGGGCAGATGCCCAGGTCAGCATAAGTAAATTACCTAACAGTGTCTGATGATGAAGGACGCATAATAAATATTATGAAACATTCATGCATAAAGACTTACTCTGCACTGAAATTCAGAGCCACCCAGCGCCAAACAACCTGCGCTGAACACAGCATGACCCCCCTCCTCTTCCGTAACCATGGTGAAGCAGAAACCATTGGTCCTGAAATCAATGCACACAAACCTTTACCTGAACAATCAACAATTACGAGTGTATTAAATATATCAAAGTTTGATTGATGCATATTATAATTTAATAACCTGTGCTATAAACTTTATAAGTAACATACAAAGGAAAAAAGTAATTTTTTTGTAAAGTTTTCTTAAAAATTGTTAAATAGCTTCAATTAGATTTTTTGGTAACATTTTATTTGAAGGAGTGTGCATAAGACTGGCATGAGACTGTCACAAGTATGACAGAACACCTGTTACGAACAAAAAATAGTTCTCATGAATGCTTATCACTGTTATCATAAAGTGTCATTTGGTAAATAATGATACTTTTAATGCAAAGTTGACAATTTTATTGGCCTTTTTATGCAAGTTTTAAAGGAACTTTGCATTAAAAGTGTTGCTTACTAAATAATACACCTTTAATGCAACTTTTAGTGCACTTTTTCATCAAAAATGTCATTTACCAAATGACACTTAATGACAACAGTTGTAAACATTTATGAGGAGTCATTCATGTTCATGACATGCATTATGTCATGTTTATGACATGTCACACAATAACCTGAACTTTATGACATGTGTTACATAAACTAGTATAGTATTATATTTTAATGTACCCCTTACAATAAGGTGTTACTAAAGAATCAAATAGACATTAATTTTACTAGAACAATTTTTTTTGTAAATGTTACAGTCTACTGTTTGTTTTCTAACTTCTTTAATGTGAGAAAGGTTTGACAAGATTGAATAAAACATTCTGCGCAAGTCAAACAGTAGTAAAAAAAAAGGTTAATTCATCTCTCTATTGCACACAAAGACTGCATATCAATTTTCATCTTTCTATTAATGGTTGACAGCTAACTTTTACATTATACATGTAAATAGTAATTAAATTTTTCTGTGTGTAAGCATGAAGGTGCGTGTCCTCCAGCATACATGCAGGTGTTGTTGATGGATCCATCGGGGCACTGAGGGTAGCAGTGGCACCGCAGCATGTTCTCAGCTGAAACTGTGGCGGTGCTGCTGCTCTCCTCCGACGGCCCGTCCGATCCCTCCCTCCATCCACTCCTCAGTAGCATGGTGTCCAAAAGGTTGGCTGATTAGGGGAAGAAATGTTTCTTTAACAGAGAACGACAGAAGAAGATCTACAGAGGTATGCTTTACTTTTTAATAAATAGTATTGTGTATTTTATACATATTTAAGGGTTTTGAAGTGTTGTCAGTATTTCACAGACTAATAATAGCATGGCCTAAACTCTGTTGTGTGCACTTCAGAGATTTTATTTTAGTTCAAGAGTCTATTTACATTAATATTGATCATTTTTCCACTTAATAAATCCACAAATGGGAAAAAAGGATATAACATCAGATCAAAAATATCAGAATTTTAATCATCCCTCTGCTTTACACATTATATTTGTTTACTAGATCTTGATGTAAGAGTTTTCCTTTTAAATTTGATTTATTGCAGTAGGTTAGTTTCACCTTGTAACTTATTGTAATGCATCTGTATGTAAGTTTCCTCTTAATCTTAGTGATATTTAATTGTTACATCTCTGTAATGATGAAAAATGGCTTTTAAGCAAAAGAGCCACCTCAAACATTTGCTATTTCATTATGATACCAATCATTTAAATAAAACAAAGAGCGATGGCTTACTTTAAATAAAAGAAATATTGTTTCGACATCAGTAGACTTACGCAACTTATCTGTATTTTGTCTACACTCAGCATCAATTATTTAAATAATAAATTATTTATTTACATCATGTCACATTAAAAACAAAATCTTTGATACTCTCAAGTTGTAAGCCAAAAGCTGAAACATTGGAAAAATGACTCAAATATTGGATTGAGTGTTTAACATGTTCTAAATGATTTAAATTAATGTACCAACAAGCCAAGGATAGTCGTCGAAAGGTCACATGAATACTTCAAATAACTTGAAGGCTGATTCTCTGAATTGAATCTAACATATGTTATTTACTCATATCTGGTTCAACACCTGCCAAACTGACAATAGCAGCATGGAAGACCAAACGTAAATTAAAACTACAAAAATAATCAGAAATTGGTTAACTTGCAAGAAATAAACAGTTAAATTGTTATTTAAAAATCACAAATAAGGAGGAATGCTTCTTTTTACCAACAGAAGGTGCATGTAGTTCCTCTCTGCAGAGTAAAACGAGTTCTGACAGCAGCTCATCCCTAAGGACGATTGTGGTCAGGAAGCAGAACAGTTTTGTGCCACACTAGATGGATGCCTTCCTCAAACTGGAAATCTAACTTTCACTCCCTCACTCTCTTTAGTCTGCCAGGGTCTTTTATACAGAGCCGGAAAGCAAGACAGAAGCACCCAGTTACAAATATAAGATCAAAATCTGGAGTTTTGTTTAGAAAAGACCTGCACAACACATCCAGGATGTTCACTTTGACTCCGTCAGTCATTTGTAAGAAAAGCTTCCCTTGATAGGTTTCATTATGCCGGGTGTAAGCAGATCTAAGCAGCCTGACAGCAGAGTAAATCTCCAGAGAACTATGCAATCAAAGAGTGGTATAAACAGACTGAACGTTCTTTAAATGCAACTCTGTATCCATTCAGTGTAATCTGTGTTGCTGTTTCACACAGAGGGGAAGTTTGTGGAGCAGCTCAGATCCTCCCTAATAGCAATCTTGGTTTCTCTATGAAAAAAATATTTGTTTTCACTTTTTATTTTCCCTTTTATGTCAGAGGCAAGCATTCAAAGAAAACAAGAGCAGGTTATGAACACCTTTGACTTGTAGTAAGCAGGTCATTCACTGAAAAATCAGATTCTTTCGCTGTTAAATGTTTAAAGCTGAAAATTCCCACTTTGATACAGATGCATGTTTTATGCATGTTGTCTTGAAGTTAATGAAAGGAAAACATGAACCTTGCATTTCACAATGGACTTAAAAAGTAGATAAATTATGTTATTTTGTTTTGTAGCTTTTATGAAATGAAAAATGGACAAAATTTTGAAATTGACAGGTCAAAACCCAAAAACACATGGTCTGATTAGAACTGTCTGTACCTTAATCTTAGATTCAGGTAAAGTGAAAGTGGTAAAAAATAAAAATTATTTCAAAATTTTTTTAATTATACATTATGGTTTTACAGTAAACATTGTATTAATTTTAAGGAAATATGTTTTGTTTCATTACATTGAAGAACTTCATTTTAATGCCAAACTAGGAAAAGTCTTACATTGAAATGAAATAGTAAATACAGTCTTAGTGCGCCTGAAAAAGTGCACACCATTTTTTTTCCCCTTCCTTCACTCCTGTCCTCAACATTCACACAGCTTTAAATTTGCTATGTCTGCAGCGTGGCACTCTCAAGGTCATTCTGAAACCAGATCTGTGTCCCCCACGCATTCCACAGGCGGCTCCTCAACGCTGACGTGACAATAGCACACAAACATGGTCAAACTCTGGGAAATTTGGAGCGTGGAAGATGGGTGAATTATTCCTGCTACAGGAACTGGAACTGCAGCTCAGCGTCATCGTCAGCGAGTCTGTAAACCTTCAAAGTTTATGTGCTGCTGTTACTTTGGCTCTGGTCTCTTTATGTCCAAATACAGTTTGTCTGTCCTTCTCTCTATGGAAAAGAACCTTCAGTATGAACTGAGCGTCAATAATGCAACCAACAGGTCCTGAGTGTAGATAACTTGATAATCAGTAAATTGATCAATGCATGACAAAGCGTTTCTTGTGTGAGTCCAGTGAGCATGTCTCATATTTCAAAGACAAGGGGGTCTGAAGGACTGCTCTGTGGTGTAACATTTAGACATGTGGGTCGAAACCGTGTACACAGGTTGACAAATTGATTGGCCCAAATTAGGCTGAACACAATATTACACCATTTTTAAAAAGAAAAGACACTGAATCCATTTCTTGAAGTTTAGTATTTGTGGATTCACCTATTTGCAGATTTTTCTGGAGAAAGTAACTCCAATTTATTTGCGGAAAATTCACAGATTTATTCAACAGTCCATGTCAAAATCAAAAGAAAGTAGCTTGGGAAACTGACATACCTAGGTGCAAATCTACTTGACATGCTATTGGCTGCTGTTTGGAGAGAAGTCAATCCAGGAGCAGCATTTGTTTTTTCTTGGTACTGATTGGCTGTAGCCCCAAGAGCAGAGATAAAAAAAGACTGTTGATGTCAGTTTCTGTGGTAGTGCAAAAGCAATTACCAATGTTTGCATTACTGCATATTAAAATATATTTTGTGTTTGAACTACAGTATAGTCGGTGTCTCAAGTATTTCTGGATTTGAGATGCTCTCTCAAGTCTCTGGGTCTTCATGGGTGGTGGCTGTGGTCCCCAACACCTGTGAATACCGTTTATTTAGCGGAAAAGTCAATTTTGTTTTTCTTTTACATTTCAGAGAAAAATATATGTGATTGGGACACATAACACGCTACTTTTGGAAAGGAAATATGTACAGATAAATTGTGGCAGCATTCGCAGAGGCATCAGCAGCAAAGATGAACTGCTCCACTACAAACAACAACGGCATTACGGCTCCTAAATTAACACTGTTGTGTGTAAGCATAATAAACAAAAAAGCTCTGATTCATAAATAAGCCCATTGGTATTTCAAAGATAAGTTCAGATGGTTCAGGAATATGATCAACATTTCTTTTTGTTTGGTGGTTGTTGTTTTTTTGTACAATCACAGAAAAAAAAATAGTTTAACTCAGCTATATTGATATATATTGATGGGGGTTATTTTACCTTTAATGACATAATTATCAGGATTTGTTGGTCTGTTCCAGAGAGCTTCACTTCAGACACAGACAGTAGGAGTCAATAAAATTAACAATTAGAGATCGATGCTATGACTAATGTTTCCAGAGATTAGAACAAAATGTCGACAGGAGGATTTTAGGTCAATAAAATAGCTTTATAAAGTGCTCCCATTAATAGCACTGTTTCACTTGAGCAGCAGCTGCTTAATTTCTGAGCTTTAAGACAGACTGATTGCTCATCATCGTAGGTACCGAGGCAAACATGAGAGGGAAGGAGAGATAAGTTGCTCCAGGTGGTCATAATAAATAACCTCCTCAAAGAAGGCATCTTCCCCGGAGCCTCCAGAGTTCAGCCCGACTCCACTGGGGTCACACCCAGCCTGCAGGAGGGCCATGCATCCTCTTCCACCCTAACATTGCACTACCATTCCTCCTAACCACCTCCCTACAGGCTTCAAAGAACCTCTGCCACATGAGAACCTACACATGTGCAAACATCATACAAGAAAGCGCATTCCACGCCGTCTCGCTGCCTCTGCTGCTACACCCATTCTGGGTCATCTGTTTCCATCATGCCGTTTCCTTCAACCTGTTCCCTGTCTACCTGGTGAGGCCAGCCTGCCTCGCCAGAAGGCTACAACCACCCACAAAGGGATCTTTGTGTCGCTGACCCTGCACCACATTACATTCTTGTGCCAAAGTCGGAGTCTAACTTTCAGGAATTCACACAGTTTGCATGGAGAGAACGTGGCGCATAGATGTGAATACTGCATAGAGCTGCCAAATCAACAAAGGTTTACTTAAACACAGACTGTATATTCAAAGCAAAATGAGGCCTGAAAATTAATAAGTAGTGAGTAAAAATGGATTACACTGTGCACACACATTTGCATCTCAAATTGGAATATAATGAAAAAGGTCATTTATTCTTTTTTCTGGTAATTTTAATGATTGTGACTTACTGCCACTTAGGCTTCTGTCTTTCACACAAATATGAACACAAAAAGCAAAGATGCTGTGTTTTTCTCTACTATGTTGTGTGAGATTCAACAACCTTGATCCCGTCTTCTCTGATATTTTTTTTAAACATCGTCTCCCCACAATTCCCATCAATGCACCTCCCTGCTCCTCTATCTGTCTGTGTGGTCTGGACTTACTGGAAAAAAGCCACAATATGCTGGGGTTCATTACAGACATACTGAAAGACTGCAACCATAGTCTCACCACAGTATGTCACTTTAGCCAACAACAATGCCTCTGATAAAAATAAAAAAAAGGGTATATGCTTCTAACCTTATCTACAAACATTTCTATAAGACGAACTTCAGTTTACTGGATAAAATAAGAGCAGTTTTTGAAAGTGTGACCCAATTAAATTTTGAACATGTTGGAAAATATTAAACCCCAGCTCCAAGAAAATCATTCTTGTTGCTCATAACTAAGACAAAATTATTGATACCTTGAGTTTTAAAATAATTTTCAGTTTACCAAGAACTTTGTTTCTTGCAGGAGAGATGACCACCTCTCAAAAGACAGTACAATAATGTAAAAGGAGGAACGGTTTTGAAATAAATATATTTTTATGAAAAATAACATGTAAAAAATATTATTCCCAATCAAGTCATCACAACATTAAATTAAGTCTCTCTTATAACTCCTGACCATTTTACATGTTTCCAGTGTTATTTTGAAGATTTATGTGATCCTCCTAGTTGTATGTAAACAACTGTTTATTTGCCGTGAAGTGAGCTCAAAATGCTACTCATATAACTAGTTTACCAAAGAATTGTCTTTAAAATTAATTATGGATAAGTGGCTAAAAACCAGGTCACGCTAAAGAAGAGCTCAAGATAATTAGAGGAAGTCGTACCTGCTGCTGAGATCGCTGATGTGGTTCATGAGCAATTCAATTCTTTTGAAGGCTATATTCCAGAAACGAGTCTCAGTTGGTGAGAACTTTTCTCTGCTTTTTATGGCTTTGCTTTTTGCTCACACGTCAACAGCTATTGTTATTTTTACTTAATTAAACATCATCAATCAAGTTAATTGAAAATGTAATTAAATTAAATTGAAAATGTAATAAATTTAATTTAATTAGTTAAATACAATAGATAAATACAAATGACAGAAATTGGTGGTTCATTTTATGTTCAATGGTGCAGAAGAGGAATTTTGTTTCTGGCAAACAGACTATTGTTCTTTTGTTGTGCTAATAGTTTCCAAGTAGCCATAAATGTTATTAATATACACAACTCTTGGTAGAAAAGAACAACTTCTTTTTTGATTTCCTTGTGTTTGCCATCCACTCTTTCAGGCCACTCAAAAAGCATTGAGTGGGCTCATGGCTTTGGTGGTCATTCACATTTACCAAACAGAATGGATGAACAAAGAAAACAACAATAAGTACATTAGGAAACAAATATTTCCATTTAAGGTTGTATATATTAAGATCATTGTGGGACAATTTCAAGTTAGGTGGTCTGTGAGTGTTTGTTAAATTGGTTAAGTGGCACCCGGCTGGAAAAAGTTTGAGAAACACTTTCGGGATATGAATAATTAGGGTTGTTTGATTTGAAATGCTTTCCCACCCCCCAATACATGAAAATAATTACTTGAAACATTGCTTTTACTACTTAATCAGGTTATTTGTATCTGCTTAAAATTGGTTACACATTTATGTCTGACACAAAAAGCAAAAACTAAATGGGGCACAAGAATCAAACCAGTCTGGAGGTTCACAATGCAGATTTAGGAATGTTATAAACATGAGCTAGAACAGAACAACCATGCAAAGCTTTTCCTTCAAGGCTAGACTGACTGCTAGAAAAGCACATCTGCACTAGGATCAAATTCTGTGTGAGGGGAACCATATTCACGTCCTGACAGGAAGCAGCTCACAAAAGGCTGAATGAGCCCAGTGCTGCTGAAGACCAACTGCTGCCGTGTTGCAATGCTGGACCTCTATGGCACGCTGCACTCTGACCTTGCTGCATAACACTAACTTCCACACGCATCTTCAAAAGGAAGTGTCAAAGTCACATAGTAATTTAAGAGAATCCCAACAACTGGTATGGAAAAGTTGGACTATTTGCTTTGGATTCAAGAAATTCTGATGGTACTCATCTACAACCACATAAATCTGAGCCCACCTGCATTTGAATTCAAGATATATACAGAACTAGAGATGTTTCCTCCTCATTTTGGGGTCTTCAATGTGAAAAAAATCAAGACTGCTGTTTTATTTGCAAATAACACACTTATCACAGTTATCCCTTTCTCTTCCCTCATGTATTTCCAGCCGGTGGAATCCATTGCACACCCACAAGCTAAAAACATAAAGATAAAGATATATTCAATGTGCCTCTAGAGAGTAAAATACATTTTAAGGTTGTGTGGGGGAAAAAAACTCCTTGCTTTTTGTAAACAGGAGATCTGTGAGTTTTGCTCATGCATGTGATGCAAATAATCAGTACAGGACAAAGGAGATAAAGAAACCTGATCTTTTCTTACATTTCCAGCTGTTAGATTTAGTCAAGTAGCTACTAAGAAATCCCATGGAGACTGGAACAATTACATTTTCAGCTTGAGAGCCTGACCAGTGACTGGATGGTCACAAACTTAAAAATTTAAAAACAAAAAGGCGTGGGAAGCTGCTTACAAGTATAGAATAATAAAAAAGTACAATAAATAAGGGAATGTGAGTTGATTCAGACTGAGCTCAAGTGGGTAAGAATTGCAAAGTTTCTTTCTTTTATCCTCATGAGCTTTTACAACCTCCATCTGTTATAAATATGCTGGATTTGGAAGGGATGCGGCCTTTTGGGAATACCAGAGGAAAGGATCAACATTTGCTAGGAAAACAAACCGAAACGGTTGTTTTAGTGATTTTAACTAACCATGCTAATTGCTAATATAAACTCCTAAAGTTTAAAAATATAAACTAGAGTTTAAAATGTCAATTCCATTTAAGACATCTTGTTAAACAACAACTACTTTCACACATGCAATGTGATATGTAGTCTTCTCCTGACAGAGGTTTTAAAAACCACTCAAAATGCAATTTTATGTTTTTCTTTTATCGGAGCGCTTAAAAAGAAATAACAATCAGATAAAATTGCCAGGTGAAAGCATTAACATTTGCAAGGGTTCAGCTGTTTTATCCTTTACAAAACCCACACTCATTATCTCAAAGCCCAAGATTTTGAATGAAAGAAATAGATTTGAATAACATAATTTAAAAATCTAAAGATAATACCAGCTTTTGTAGCAAATGTTTTAGTTTTGTGCTGCACCACCTCTGAATGACTGGGCTAGCATTCATCTATTTACAGTGAACCTCACCAGGTTATAGAAACAGGTGGCAAACTGACCTTGCTGCCCAGATTTATGGCAACCTCCCACATGTTTAGCTCATTAGGGTGACCTTTTGAAGATCAAATCACAAAGAAACATGGTGGAACCCAACTTTGAAAAGAAATCTAAGATCCTTAGTCCATGTATTATTTGTTAGACAGCAAAGGCAAAAATATAAGCCTCATCCTCCACTGGTTTCCATAGCTGGGAAAGTGGAAATCAATGTTTCTTTTGAGCTATTTTTTCCACTCCATCTTTCCTCATTCTTTATATATTTGGGTGGCTGTTGAGTTTCAGACCTAACTAAGAGTTTCGGCTCTTACTTCGGTCCATCCAGAAGACATTGGGAGATTCTGTGAAGGAGCATTCATCAGCAGCTGAGGTATTTCTTGACCAACTGTGAAAGTTACATTTAGCTCAGAGCCACACTGTGAGTCTGGGATTTTACAGCTGGTCTTTAGTTTTGACACAATTTTAGCACAGAGAGCCTTTGTGCAAGCTGTGAATTTATGCTTATCAGAACATGTAGATACATATCACTATTTCCAATATTTTTCACCAACTATATCTGAACCTAGTTGACCTTTTATGTCTTGAAGAGTCAATAGAAAGAAGCTTGTGAATAAGTGGTTAAACGTTGAAACTTGGGTCATTAAGGAACATCAGAAGAATAAAATAAATACAACTCAGTCAAGTCCACATAAAGTATGAAACATAATAGAAATGAAATTAAGTGAAACAAAAGAGAAATTAAATGAATGAGATAAAAAGCATAAAAAGATTTTTAAAGCTTACACCAAGAACAGTATGAGAAAGCAAAGAGTCATCAGCCCAAATGTCCTTGATCATCTTTTTATGGGAACGTCTATAAACATTTTGTGTTTGTTGGAACATGTGGGGCCCAAATGATAATTTTATGACTTGGCATGGAACTGTGTGAGCATTGCTGCAAACAATAATCTTCTTCACTCAGGGGATTCACCCGTTTTTGTTTTCGTTTTTTGCTAATTAATGAAACGTCTGTACTTTGAAGTTGAAAACAAAGTTTCTCTAATGAATAATAAAAAATAAGTTATTAATTTCTATGAAGGAGAAATTAATTCTGTTGAAGATTTGAGTTTTATTGAATGTCAAGTACACATGATTTATGTTGTGATGAATATGTGGCTATAAAATACAAAATTCTAGAGCCTATTTTAGTCATTCTGAAAACATTTTCATTTCTTTTCTTTTCAAGGGCAAAGAGTCAGTCTTAAGGTGGGAATCTACCAAACCCCTGACATTGTCAAAAGCCTCTGGAGCACAGTGACATACTGGCATTCAATGTAAACTGAGTGTCCATCCTTAAACAATTAGATAGGTTTGGATGATTTCTCTCTATAGAGTTTATTCCTCATAAATACCAGGAGGGGTAAATTGATAGATAACCTCCCAGAAGTAACAATCAACCTGTCGGCTCATTGCCATGTCAAGCAAAATAAAAGAAAACATGATCAGCATGATGAGTCTCACAAAATGCTCATCAAAACTCAAAAAGAGAGGTGCCTTATTTATAACAGTAATGGTGCAAGCATAAATATAAAGGAATTACAAGATGTTTTCCTGTGCGGCACTTACCGTCAGAACCACAGCTCAGAGATGCAAGTCCAGCCACCATAACAACAGCTTTCCAGGCCCACTCTGCAGACAGCCACACCACCACAACCATCCTGCCAGCTCCGGCTTCCTTCCAATCCCAGAGGTGCTGCCTCCTGCTCAAGAAGGTCTGTTTTTTTTTGTTTTTTTTAATCCCTTCTGTGAAAAGGTTCGAGTCCTCTCCTTCTCTGCAAGTGACTCGCACTCTACTTTTCAGCGCTCCCAGGAACTTCTCACAGTTGCCTTGCAGCCTGCAGCAATCCTCCACACTGACAGCCTGGGAGAGACAGACATGGAGAAAGAATATTGGGACAAAAGGAAAGGAGGGGGAAGAGGAGGGTGTTACTTCGCTGCTCTCTCACTGTTATTCGTCCAGCTCTGTGGCAGCTTCACAGCAGAGGCAACAGCTGAGTATATCCACACATGTTCTCTCTGTTATTTCATACACACAAATGCATTACAAACTGAAAAGGCAGATAAAACGAAACAAAGCAGATGTAGTAAAAGGAGCTAAGGCATGGTCGTGAAGTTGACTACAAAATAAAAGAAACGTGAAACTCGGCAACAAATGTAAAACCTCCCTGAAAGGACATGAAAACTTTATGTGGAATTAAGGACTTCAAAGAAAATGTGCAGAGAATCTGGTTAAATCCACTGGTATTAGTCCTGTGAGGCACAGAGTCTGACTGATGCCAAGAAGAAAGAGGCAGTTTTAGAGCAGATTCTCCAAAACTCTTCTGCTTCCACTCTGTAATATAACAGTGGAAGAGAGAAAGGGGCCTCAAATGGCCACTTGGTTAAACAACAATTACCAAGAAGTTCATTAAACAGGGGTACAATATAATTATGAAAAGGATCATTTTTATTTGCATGAACATAACATAGAAGTTATCAAATTATAAATTTTGTTTGAAATTCCAATCATATGCAATGAATGAAACAGAAATGGGTTTCAAGCTCTCCATGACCCTCACTCATCTTAGTGCTACTATTAAACTAAAGATGCCCGCAAATGAACCCCAAATGCCGTGTATTAATCTGCACCCACGTGTACAATTTTATAGCTCATATGTGGGTTGAATCGTGTTAAGTTCTTCATACGGGCCAATGAGGGGCGAAAATGCAACAGGGATCAGGCCGTCACACGGCAGGCGATTAGAGGCGATTAGAGCCAACACCCTCATGCACCTCGGCTTTGACAAATTCACACTAATCTGGCACCAGCAAGTAAAACTCAACCAAACTATGATAGAAACAGTGGAACCGCAGGCACAAATTCCAGTGGAGAACAATTTATGCATGCTACAAATTACAACAATTAGCAAGTTGACAGAATGGATCAAGCTCCCAACAACAGCCACACAAACCATAACCATGTATTTTTTAGGAACAAGGAAAACTAAACTGAAAAAAGACTTGATATGAGAATAAACCAATAAAGAATAAACCTGTCCCCTCTTACACACTGACTGGGTGGGAACTGCAGCTCCCAGAAGTCACCTCTCCCTTCTGGAGCTCCACCAGTCCTGTAACTGTCACTCCTGATTTGTGCAGAGTTGTGTGCTACATATGATAAGTTAGCCTATTCTGGGGTCTCAGTGCATGGGGAGCGATGTGAATGGGTCAGTGCACTTCACACACTCTTCTGCGCTCCAGCAAATGCCCAGCGTGGAGCTTCTTCGGAGAGACAGCCCACTCGGCCCAGAGGCCAGGGCCGGGAAAGTTCAGTGGAGTGGCCGGCGCTGCAGGTGGGGGTCATGCCACCACACAGAGGGGGTTGCAAGTGGGACACGCTGTTTGTGAGGCCTATTTTCAGGCAAATTACTGCTCCCCTTCCTATTTTCTTTGCCTTTAGTTTATGGTTAGAATTTAAACAGCAAAGCACATCTGTTGTCCCAAGATTAGTTAAAAAGTCTTCAAACTGGCTAATTTATGGAGGTGCTTTTCAAGATGATTAGTTGTGCTTTAATTCATTCTTAGTGAGATAAAACACAACCTTTCAATCACTTTGTAAAAAAGCCTGGAGAATAATTAGATTGCAGATCAGACACAACAAAGAGCACATTTAACACCTGCAATCCGGGGTGTTTTACAAAACAATAAAGGAACTCAACAAAACAAAAAACACATTGAAACAAGTAATACATCAAACAACAAAAAAAATCTTTCAGCATCAAATAAAAATACAAAATTTCAAATAAACAGAAAGACATGGGAGGCTTTCCACCTCAATACACCTTCTCTTATCTGTGAGGGCTTAGCATATGTATAATTAATATTCTAAAGCTGATTCATTAATAAAGAGTTAACAACAAAAAAACAAACTAAAGTAGGTGTACTCAATTTGTAACTCTTTTCTTGTCCCAGAGATAAATTTGAGGCCAATTTATTATTGCAAAAGCAGAATAGAAAGACTGTGCTGCAGCTGCGATGCACATTAAGGTGAACTATGTCTGCTGTACACAAGAAAAATGTGTAAAATGCATTTTCATGGTCCTCAGTGCCTGGCTTTGAGCTATCAGAGCAGTTGTTGATGTATTACTTTGGCTCATTCACTTTCAGAGAAACAGGGAGGGATCTGTAGGGAGGTCATTTTCAGTTTGTTCTGTAGATTATGTGCACAACAGATTCTAGCCTGTCACAGTAAAAGTTCAAATAATACCACTTAACTGTTTAAAGAAAACTGTCTCCATTTCATAAGAACATATTTGTTTCTGAAACAGAGATGCTACATGAACACTTGTGCCATTTTTGAAGTGCACCATGGAAATTTGTTAAGTTCTTAATTTCAAAAAGGACTTTAAAAGGACAAACACATGTTCCAACACACAACAAGAAAAATGAGATGGATGACTGAGAAAAGTCAGCGCTAACCTGTTAAACAAAAAGCCATGACGGGACACAGATGATGGAATTACCTTGTGCAGAGACGGAATGCATATCATGAACAAAGTTTCAGATGGAGCTAAAGTGATCCTATGCTCTGTGAAATTTAGAGGATTTTCAGCAGCTCTCAGTTAAATCTGCTGTCATTGACTCATGAAGAGTAGATTATTATTAGCATGACATCACAGCTGTCTAGATCGAATGGCTCAATGTGATTTTCATCATCCAATGGGATAAAGATCAGAATTGGGTTTTGAATGTCAGAAAAAAAACAAAAAAAATCACACAAAAAAGGAGCACTAACCTTATCGTCATGAATGAACAGATTCTGGCATATTGAGATCACTTGGTTTTTTTTACAAGAAGGCTTAGAGGCATTGTAAGGATCCTAAACTTCAGAAGTTAAGTCCTACCCAGAAACAGCTTTATTTCTATACATCAGCAGTGTGTATGGAAATAACATAATTTAATTCCAAAATACAAAACATGATAAATTAGTTGCCTGTGTTGGATCTTTAAAACAAATTCCAATCAATTATTGCATTCAACAATGTCAGTATCACACGCAGCTAGAGTAAAACTTTAAGAAAATCTTATGTTTGAGGTAATTATTATTCCACCATAGATGTTAAACTGAAAGGTAATGCTTATCTAAGGTTCTGTGTCAGATCTTAGCAGGATATTTTTTTCATAAGTTCCAGATTTTAGGCCTTTCCACCACTTGCCTGCTTTGCTTTTCAAGCTCAAGCTGAACAATATGCCTCCATTTTCACATCCAAGACCTGGATATTATGGTGTAATGACATCCTAAAGGGTTTAGGCTTCAGACCAGAGGTTTTGGTTGACCATAGATGCACATATTACTGTATTTTATATGTAAAGTTTAGCAAAATAAGAGCACAGATTCATCACAATTACAAGAAAAAACTTCACATACAACAAAAGCTGAACAAACTTTAAAAGCAGGGGAAAAGGGAAACAAATAAAGCTGGCTATAGCAGATGGAGGCTCATATTGAATCTGGTTCTACTGGAGGTTTCCTTATATTGAAAGATTACTGTCACCACTTGCTTTCTCAGGACGGAGGCCTTCAAAATGAAGAGATGATGCAATCAGCTGGTTTTCTTCACATATAAAGGTCTGTTGAGGCTATATTGTGTCACTACAGGACAGAATAAAATGAGCTGGAATTTTCTGTAAAGGTAATTTTATTTATATAAAGTAGCGTATTGCACTGCACTGTAAAGCAAAGGTCACCAACCGTGGTCCTCAGGGCACGCTGTCCTGCATGTTTTAGGCGTTTCCCGGCTGCTGAACACCTGGTTTAAATGAATAGGTCATTAACAAGCTTTTGTAACAATTGCAATCATTCGAGTCAGCTGTGCTGGAGTGGGGAAACATCTAAAACATGCGAGACGGACAGTGAGCCCTGGGACCAGAGATGGGGACCACTGCTGTGAAGTACTGCTCTTTCTGTATTGCATTGAATTGAATTAGACTGAATGAATTTAGACTGGAAAGTATACAATGAATAGAATCTGTCACAGAAAATGCTTGAGAACATTTATTAATCGAGTTTAAAAACAAAACAAAAACTGAACTGCATTGAATAAAACAATGAAAACGTAATGCTTTAAATAATGAATACAAAAGTTCAAATTACATTTTGTTTCACCAGTGCTGTTATGTTTGGAATATTTCTGGGGATTTTTCCATGTATGTAAAAAAAAAAAAAAAAGATTGAAATGTGAAAACACACCCAGCTTTCTGTTCCAGCTGTGCTCCACATTAAAACTAAACTTCTTCTCCTTTTTTTTTTTTAGATGCAAGTCTGGCAAGAGAAAGTAAACATGTTTTTGATGATATGAGTGGTCCGGATGGTTCTTAACATATTCAAAGATCAGACACTAAATCAATAAAGGTAAAACTATGTGCTGGATTACAAATCTATTGACATATCCTGGTGTTTTGACTAAACTACAAATCAATGTTTGTCTTACAAGCAGGACTAAAACTTTATTTTTAATTCAATGAATTTATGCAAGCACAATAGCAAAACATTAAATCCCTGTAAGAATGAAGAAGAATGTAGCACCAAATTGTAGCACCTTTGTTAATTGTCTGTGTTTACTTGGAATTCAGATGAATGAATGTAAAACAGGAGTGCAGAGGAAAACCGTAGATCATTGCCCTGAAGCCAAAGCCACCAACAAGGGAAATCTATGGAATAGCAATCCACTTGCTCAGATGGGAAGACAGAGGTCTTGTTGAATAATCAAAATTCCCTCAAAGCAGGCAAATCACTAAGCTGAGATTGATGCTTTGAAGCACCAAGAAAGCTGAGTGGGATGAAGAACACTATTCATGAAGAGTGAAAAGGCTGTCACAGCAAGTTTACCCCTCCTTCCCTTCCTCTTTTCCTCACGTTGTCTATGTTTCTCCCTCCATCATTTACTCTTTCTGCACAATGTCAAAATGTCATATCCAAAAAGACAAAAAAAAAAGAAATCATTGATATTGGATCATTCTCTCTGCCAATATCAATGTTTAAAGATACAACTTGTGGAGTGATCCAGGACTTCATCTAAACCCTGCACATTAAATGTAGAACCTGATTGACAAGTGTTTCAGATCGAAAGGATTTGAGACAAGATCTGACCCGTCTAAGGCAAAGCAGCAATATTTTAACTTTGTGTTGCAGACAGCAAAATGATGTCATGTACAAACTTGAATTCATAGCTCTCTGATTTGTATGATGACAGACAAGGTGCACCCAGTAATTACACATGTGGCACACACAGAAATAAATTATGTATGCCAAGTTGTAAATGTCAGAGAATGTGATTCACATAAAAATGTCAATTCATACAGCAACAAGTTGAGTAAACTAAACTAACAGAATGTGACCTTATGATTATGCTTATGCTGCCGTATTCATTGAAAAAGATTCCATCTTAATCTTGACTCAGTCTGATACTTTCTTTTTTTAAGTTTTAAAAAATAATAAACTAAAACTAACTTTTTTGTTTCCTGATGACAAAATAAAAAGCAACAAAAAAATCTAAAAATTTTCTTGAAGTGTACTTCAAGAAAATTAATAATTTAGTAAATTTAGTACTGGATGAATTCAGTACTAAATACTGAATACATTCAAATAAGTTGTGTGTTCCTAACTTCAATTGAAAACAGATCATTTTACAAAATATTTCTGTAAGATTTTTTTGTTAGGGTTATCTACATTATAATCACAATTTGAAACAACAGATTTCAACAATTTCCCTTTTTTTTTTTACTTAAACGTGAATACTTCGCAATGTGAGTTTTTCCCCACATCTCTTCTTGATTGTGAATGCTGTAGTTTTTTTAGTGATAAAAGAAGAAATTAAAAACATGTTTTTATGTCAGAAAATACAGCTATGTTATGAGAATTAGCTTAAGCAACGATGTAGTCAATATATTAGGAGAACCCTTTATTATCTATTCTGCTAACAGTTAAGATTTCCAATCTTATGATCACGACAGTAGCAATCCATGAGACCATTTCATTAAAACATCCATTACTCGACACACACCTGCAGCTCAAACCTAAACAATGGGCATAACGGCTACGAAACATTCACACGACCTCCATGTCAGCGATTCAGAAATTCTCATTAATAAAGTGGCTTTCCTCGCTCCAGGCAAAAACAGCCAATGTTATTTCCCCTTCTTGTTCTTGCTTCTGAACGGCTCTATCATTCAGAGTTATTGGTCCATGCCTCACTGAGCTTCTACTAAATAAACTCTCTTGTTTTGTTGGTGGAGAGTTTTGCCTCAGTTGACTTACTCAAAGGTCTGTTAACATTTATTGTCTGCCCACTTCACTACACTAATCTGGCATCAAGTATTTAAGTCTGTTTTGACTAACCGCTTATAAAATCTCATTGAAATAACAACAAGTAGAGAGGAGTTGTAGCTTAGGCTGTTTCAAGCAATATTGTGGTTTTAATCAATGAAAGAAACATTACAGTTACATCACTGCATCACACGTTTGAAACTGCTTTAATGAAATGGCAGGAAGCGTTTATGTTTTTTCTCTGCTTGTGTGGTTTGCAGAGTTCCCTTGTGTCCTTCACACTTTATAAACTAAACTTTTCCCCTTACTAGAACAGGACAAACTTGGCTGTTTCAACATTCTCACATGTACCAGAAATAATAAACAGTTTTGCTTGGGACAGAGGCCACTGCCTTTAACTTATTTGTAGTTCTGAAAAAAGCAGAAGGGGTTAGTTAGCATGCCTGTCAGTAAATTAGAGCTTGCACTAGTCCCATTTTTACCTGGGAAAAGATCCGTTCTTTTTTTAAAAAATATTACCATTATATCTAGACCTTCTTGTTTTGTAAGGAAGCAAATTTGTTGGAGCAAATAATCATCAAACTTGCCTTGTGGCATCCCATTGTAACACAGCTACTATGACAACCCTCTAAAAGAAGTGCTCATGCTTACTGATGTGCAAAAAAATTGCATTTATTGTATGAACAAGCATTAAAGAAGCACTGTGACAACACAGTGACTAACCTTTCAGACAGAACAAACTGGTTTTTTTTTTTCTGAATTACTTTACATAGACAGAGAAGTTTGACTTACTGAACTCGCGCATAAGCCAATGTGGAGAACATTATGCAGAGTCTGGCAAGCTGCAGAGGGGCTCCATTTGTGTGTGTCAAAAGTTCAAGCCCCCCCTTCCGGTGCTCAACCTGCAAAAACAAAGAGTTTGCCTTATGTGGGCTACATCTCCCTGCACCACAAACAAGACTGATTGTTACAGAGTGACTCCACCTGTCTCTTACTCTAATTAGTCGTGCTAGTCACTGAAGTGCTAAACCAGCAGGGATGGACTAAAACAGGGTCAAAGGAATGAAACAAAGTCTTAAAGGAGTGTGGAATGTGGAAACATGTTAATTTGTGTGAGGCGAATGAAAGACGGACAAACAATTAGACAAACATCAAGCAGACCATGCAGAAATAACCGATTTTACATAATTCAATCACACAAATGCTCTGACATGTACAAACATTTCTAAATGGCTGTGGTAATTGGGAAAAAAAAATCCCAATGCCACATTTCACACATGGGGATGGGTTGCCAGTGTCTATCTCAAACAGTTACTGGGCAAGTGGTGGTCACACCATGCACAAGTTGCCTCAATCACCAGGCAACATAGAGACGAACAACCATTCACAAAAACGCTCAGAAATTCTAGCAATTTAGAGTAACCAATGAACCTTTTAGCCATGTTTTTGGACTGCAGAATTTGGAGAGAACCCACCAGTGCCTGGCGGGGCACATACAAACTTCATGCAGGAAAGATTTGAACCCAGGACCGGGGGACATACAAACTCCATGCAGGAAGGATTTGAACCCAGGACCATCAACAATCCCATCGTGCAGCTCATATTGAAACATATTCTGAAAAATAACATCACCCTGCAAAAGTTCGGCTGGCAAGCTTTTACAGCAGAATAATGTAGTCAATGGAAAAATTTGAGCAACTCTCAGCTATAATAGTACTTTCAATCCTGTAGAGAACCATATAAATCAAAAGTAATTTCACATAAACAGTCACACAATAAAGACTTCACAGTACACAAATATGGCAATCTGCTATAACGCCAGTACATTTGATATATCTCTGAAAAAACATGTTATTTATAATGGCATCTGCACAGTGTAGCCTTTCTCACACACTCCCCTCTTCTGGCTGTAGTGATGCATGAAGAGATGGATTCAGCCCAACCCTTGGAACAGCTACCAACTGTATTTATGTTAAGCTCTATGGACCGGTTGACACAGACAGGTGGGATTTAAATGGCAAATTAACTCCCCATAGATGCCCAGAATGAATCTGTCCATTACGTTCAATGCTTAAAACCTTTGTGATTAATGGTGTTTGGTCAATTTTCAGTTTTACTGCTTTGTTATATAACAAGAAATGAACAGAAGGGGCTGGTGCACTGCCTCTTATTGGAGTACCTGCTCTGTTTGATTGAGAGGGAATGTAGAGTAAGAAGTTGGTCGGGAGGGAGGGAGTCTTCTGTGCATATTTTCCATGTGTACCTACGCCTCTCCTTTAGCTGGTGCTGCTGAAAGCTCTTTTGTATGTCTGTGTGTAGTGTGAAGTCAAGGCACAGACCACAGGCTGAGCAGTTACCAATAACATCTAAGCAATAATTCTGAGCTTAACTTAATAGCTGTTTTCATTGGAATTTTGCAAATGTAATATTTTTAATCTAATTTGCAGTTTCAGAACACATCGCTCTTTTTTATATAGATGTTGCATCACAACAGAAAATCCCCTTTGTGCTTCTGAGAGATTGACTTACAATACTTGTGGAAAGAAAAAAAAAAGTGGCGCACGGAGGAGAAATAATTTCACACAAGAGGAGAAGTTATCATTATATCAATGGCACCATTTTGTAAAAAATGGCGTGTCTGGAACAAGCCCAGGGGGTATTAGTGGTGGAATCATGAGTGGAACGATAGTGCTATCAAGCACCAATCAGAGCGTCTGACAGCCACTTAAAATAGTAAGTGAGGGTCACGGAGCACAAAGGATGCCTTGTAGATACATTACAACATTGCATTTGTGACAGAGTTTAGCATGGTCATGTTTTTGGGTTTGTACGCTATGAAGTGGAAAAATGAGTACATATGTCTGCATTTTTATTTTCTCAGACATGTCTGTTTTATTTCCTTTGCAAGTATGCATGTAAGCAGTTTTCTAAACACACATACTGTAAGGAGCAGGTACATTAGAAAGGTCAGATAACATAAGTAATAACCACAGAGTGCAAGGAAGGTTCAAAATAGGTGTCTATGCACCAAGTTGTTTTTTACTTAAGTTTCCCCCCTTGTGCTTACTTTTCCAATATGTGTGTGTAAGTGTGCATGCATGTGTCAAAGGAGGGTGTAGTTTTTACTGAAATGTTTGAGACTGTCATACAACTGTACAGCAGGGCTCTTCTCTACAGGTCTGTCTCAGTATCAGAGAAATTGAATGCTTGAGGCCTTCGAAATAAAACATTGAAAGACAAAGATTGCCAAATAAGTTTCTTTTCAAGAAAAGTATTTGGGAGCACGTTTTATTAAGTATTGGGAACACTTAATAAAAAGTGTTTCTGGTCCTGTGTGGTTGAGACTGCCAGCTTTATTAATCTGCTAGATTCACTGTGTCTCACTAATCTACTACAGCTTTGCCAAAAATCGAGTAAACCTTTAAATTTTGGATCATTCTGGCAGTTGTGGATCATTGTCAGCAACAACACATAATCATCTGTTTTACCACAGTAGCTGATGAGGTGGATTGAACCACAGTATGATTGAATAGCTAGGTATTGCTCTAAATAATTTTTTTTTTCTTGAAACAAAGATAAATGAGGAAAAAGTTATATTGGTCTTAATAAAATTAATTTCTGTACTGTGGGATAAAAATAAGAATCTTCTGTTCTATTCAAGGTTTCCCTTAAAGAAATTGACTTTATAACACAAGAAGGTGATTGGTAATACCTTTCTACTCTTGACGTATTGACATGCTGTTCAGACTTTTCCATTGGAAGTTCAGCTTTAAATCAAAACTCTAATAGTAGTATATTGAAATCCACAGTTAATTACCAACCACAATAAACATCTAGACCTGACTAACTGATGGGTGACATGCAGATGAGCAGAACATATCTGATGAAACAACCCCGAAATGCCCTGTGATGGCTCTGGAGTTTGTCTTCACATGCACACTCATTGATTTTTCCATACCTTTTAATAGTCAGGGGTCAGGAGCAAACCTTTTATCTGCATAATAAAATTTAGCTTCTTTCCAAGTCAACTAGCGTTAATTAGTTCCTGTTGTATGGTAATGCTTGCTTCCATTTGAAGTACACAGAGCTGCCACCCCTTCAGTCCCTCATCTTTTACAAAAACAGATCACACTTACACATACATGCTGACTCTGTGAGAGGTCAAAGTGAGTGTTAAACCATCTGCCAATATGGCTGATGAGAAATACAGGGGCAAGGAAATCCTTTTTTTTTTTCAGGTTGGCAGGCTGACCCGTGACCTATTTGTCCATTTGGGCACATTTTTCTTTAATTAGAAGAAGACGTTCTTTAAAGGAAACCTATACTTTAGCGAGTAAAAGCAACTGCATAACAAAAAAAACACAGGGAAATGAACACCTAGTTTGTGGCCTTCTGAGAAATTACTCACTGAAAATTTTATTTAAAATTGATCTGAAACGTTTTACTCTTCATCACAGAATTCAAAAGGACCCTTCTGCAGATCAACATATTTTGTTTTACAAGAAAATGTTTGTTTTAAGCACCAGAATCCCTTAATCCAAAAACAATATAATGAAAAACATATGTAGCATGAGTATCAAAGCTTTCTTCAGAGAATACCAAAAGATATTAAAGAAAATGATAGAAAAAGAACCTTAAAAGATTTGATTAAACTGCCTGTGAGAAATGTGAAGCCACAGAAGTTTAATAGCTATAATTTATTTATAGCTATAGTACTATAATTCCACATGAAATTACAGTACTATTAGGATAATTAATGTGTTTTGGTATAAATAACATGACTATTTAATTCACAAACTGATGGAATTCACACAGACAAGTCTGCTGCAGACTTTAAAAACTATCTGTAAATCGGCAGGAATAAAACATTTATTTTCAACGAGATAAAAATAATAGTACAGTTTGTGTACTTGCAGCTAGATATCTGATCATTAAAATGTCTGTTTTCTATCCTCTTTTCATGAACAGTATCTTTTCAGATATAGAGATATCTATTCGGGATTATAGCCCATGTAACTCTCTTTCCCTGGAGATCTGAGCGCATTAGATACGGAGCTATCAGCAGCCTTTCCCCTGACGTTGTTGTTTGCTCTCTTCCAATGATAGCGCAATGAAAACACAGGAAGCTGCTGGGAGAGCGCTGGGGCTGCGATCGATGCATGCGTGTCCAACTGTGAGCTGGGTGAAGTCTCAACATCTTGCCCTCTTCGCTTTCTCAACCGTCCGTTTCCGTCCTGTCAAGACTCCTTCTGCCGCTAATGTGTCTGCATGCAGTGTCATCCAGTGCCGCCTCGCAGCAGTCGATAAGTACTGGAAATGCTACCCATCTCTGAAACATCAGTCCTTCACTTACTGTAAGTGCACATCAGCGAGGGCAGCATCCCCGCACTGCTGACAGGGAGGAAGACAACACCAGCTAGATCATGCTGTGACCGAGCATCACCGGCTGCAACCACAGACAAGGTTTTCACTGCTGAAATTGCAGACGACGTAAAGAGTGACTGAAGTGAGCTATGGTTTATCAAATTTGAGCTGGTGTTCCACATCATTTCTAGGAATAAAGGATTTCCTTCAAAAAGCAGATCCTGTGGAGTAAAGCAAAGATCAATTTCTTCTGTCATCAGACAACTCTATGCCTATTTTCCCTATTTATGTTCTCTGTGTTACTATACATTAAGCTATTTGGAATGGTTATCGTAACAACAGTCCAACAAACACAAAGGATCTTAATGTTTTCTTTGGATTTTGTTAAAATGTGGACAGTGGACAGAATCTTATGTTTAAATTTATTGAAAGCCTGAAAAATCTAACCAAGCTGCAGGCAAATCAGACTACAACTATGCTGTGCTGGATTTGTCTTTAAGCTGGAACTTTGATCCTGAAGAGCTGAGAGGTTTTAATT